GAGCAACAAAAATGGTAAGTCCGTTTTTATAAAAGAAAATATAATCTGATGTTCTCGATATTTATTAGATATTGTTCTAAGACTGTGTCCAGTGCATGTCTCATACTAGTTTATCTAATTAATCAGCTGACCCATTAACACTAATGTTATACAAAACGATCAATATTCAACACAACTATTGAACAGATGGTCTGGGACGTTTTGATATGTACATCATCAATGTATGTAGTTTTCTAGTTGTTTTTACCTACTATGAAAATTGTATATACATATATATACCCTTATATTATTAAATTGATTTCGATGTACATTATTCAAAATTTAGACAAATCATTATATCGTTGTTAGTTAGCGCATCTATCAATACAGAACAAGATGTTGTATGATCTCGCTCGATTTTTACACTGTATCTATGTATGTATTTTATTTATACAATACATTGTACCAATTCGCCTGTACTGTAATGTATAACAGATGTATTTCTACAACGTGTCTATTTATCTATTCGATATATTGTGCTATCTCGCCCTGTATTGTATTGTATTACAGCTGCATCTATGCAATGTATCTATTTACCTTAGCAACGTAAACTTTGTATTCTAACCGTGAATGAAGTTTAAGGCTATGATAAATGAAACAATGGCATCTTTACTTTTCATTCATTAATTTGATTTTTCACCATATTTTATATTTTCTTAGCAAGATACTTTTCTTTCGTGATATCGCACTGAAAAATACTAACCGTGAAATTATCAACAAAATTCGCACCCCCCCCCCCCCACCCTCCCCTCAACCACCACCACCACCACCCCTACCACCATATTTTCCCCTGGCGAATAACAGGTAAAACGATGATCCTATATTTTGTTAAATAACACTGCAATTGAAACAATACACCCTCTCTGTAACACACTTTATTATGAGCCGATTAAAGTAATGTAAATTCACTGGTATTTTGTTCAGATCAAAATACAAATCAGATTTGGAAGCAGTATAAACGTTGAAATTTTATATAAACAATTTTGTTACCAAACGGCAGGGAATTATGTTCCGCACAAAGGCGAGGTCCTAACCGATTAAAAAAACCCAATGGATATCGATGTTAAAAAGCACAATGAACGTTAATGATCAGAAATCAAGGTGAAAAGTGTCATTTAATAAGTGTCAAATTTACCTGCGGGTCAGTATTTAACTGATTCAGTAGATCGTGGCTCGTTTCCTAATCAGGTTACGTAATGCAATGGACAATAATTTGAATTAAACAGTCCATAGAGTTACTGTATATAAGATAACTTTACACTCGCAATGGATAAAGGATAAAGCTCATGAATGAAACACGACATGTGATCAATTATAATTTAGGACTTAAAATTCCATAAATATGTAAATCAGATTAAAGTACATCTCTCGGATACACCTATTCTGTGTTAGCGTGGTCGTATCAGATATATGCATTTTAATCAAATTCCATGAAAACGTCTCATTAAAAGCACAAGGTGTGGTATTTTAAATCAATAATTTTACACGTTAACCTTAATAAAATAGTTAAGACACGTTCTTTTTATAATTACTTCCATCACCGATTTTTCTTTAGACAAAATACGGGAGATTCGTTTCATTCCATCCAGAAAAAATAGGGTAAAGTGTCTGTGTTGAACACAACCATGTCAGCATAGAGTGGACTGTTTCTCAGGAAGGTTACGTGTAGGTAGCAACATCTCTAATGAGCTTTCGTGGCCTCTAAAATTTTGAATTTGAATTTTCATTTTTTTTCCTTTAGTCAGAGGGTTAATAAAAGCATCCAAATCCTGAATCATTTCCTTAAATGGGCGTTTTCCTTTTTATTTTCATCTCCTTATAATTTCTTTTCCTTTACTTAAGTAGTTTGTTGTTACTGAGAATTTACAGCACAGCCATCTACGTTTGAAACCGCTCTCTTTTCTCCGTCCCATGTTGTCCTTTCCGTTTGTGTTTCTCGAGATCATGGTTTTAAGTCCTTTGCCAGAATATATAGTGATCGAGGATGTTTTGTGTCAAGCTACATATGTACTGAAGTATCCTGGATTCGGATATAAGCGTCCATTGCCAGTTTTCCGTATGAAATTGATTATTCTAACGTCAAATTACTTTATAATTAATGTACATATATTTCTAGTGTTACCTGATAATACATGTTTATACACACGAGACAACAACAATCTATAATTACTAGATTTTTTTCCTTCTATGATTTAACAGCTGACTAAATGTGTGACCTAGTGCACGAGTCCTTAAACAAAACATGTCCTTGAATAAACAAGAATATCGTTTTGCATGAACTACTTCATGGACACTAAATTGATGGTAACCATGGAATATATAGATATTCTAATACAATGTGGATCCAAGTTCGTTTCAATTTGATAGAAAAGCATTAATGAATTTGGAAAAAACCTTCCTATCTATAATAAACGTGTTCAGTGAAAAGTATACGTTGATAGGTACTGGTGAATACCATAATCTATGCCAGACCGGTATATATATATATGTTGTAAAACCTCTATATACAATTCTATATTGTTAAACTTCCTGTTAGCAGTAATGGTCATGTAAGGCAGACCTCGCTATTTTAGTTTGGTTTGATTTTTGTATAACTTCCCGTAAACAACGGCCTCGCTATAATTTAGTGCTCTTTAAAAAGAAAAGAAGGAGAAAAGTCAGGTGACTGTTGAAATGGAGTGGTGGAATGGGGGTGGCGTGGGGTATGATAGGGAAACGAGGTGTGGCTCTTAATAAAGTGAAATACGTTTGGTTATCAAACAATACACAGCAGGCTTTCTGACGGACATCTTTCGTTTTGGAAGGGAGTGGGGGTGGGGGTGGGGTAGGGGTAGGGGGGAGAGGTTGCTGACGAAATTTGCAAATGCTTTCCCACAAATATGGACTTTAAAATTGATCAGGTAAATAGCTACACTGTAATGTTTGATGATCAGATCGTTTCTATTTATTGGGAAATGAGAAAGTCATTGAACCCAACTGAATAGCTGTTTAATAATTTGCATGTAATATTCACCTTTGTCGTCAAGTCAGTATTGAACCATAGAAAATCGTTATATGTTATTAAAGTTCCTTGATAAATGAGTCTACGAGGCATGGAAACATAACATGCTCAATTAAGCGATCAGTACACTAGTTTTTGTGTTGACACAACATAACACAGGTAACTGGTGCTCGGTAATTTTTGTATATGGCAACTGTAGACTAAAGGGATTTTTTTGTACAACATACGAAATGATGAAATTTGCATCGCACAAATGTGGCTTAATTTTACAAAAATATGAAACACAGACTTGCTATTTCATTGTTCCTGTATCTATACTATATAGACATGATCAGAATATCAGTGAAAGGATTTAAATTCTTTCATATTATTTAATGTCATATATCTACAAACTATAAATATAATTTGTGTTCTAGGTAATGTACATGTAATTATTGAAATGTTTTTATTTCAGGGAGAGACGACGAAAATTTATCATTTGCGTTTACATTGTCGGTGATGCTTTAATCAGCAGTTACTGTTAGTCATATATTTTCGTGGAGCTCCATTTCCGTGATTTTTCAACCACTGGGCACAAGATGAATATAATTCAATAAATCTAATCATACCAATTCTAACAGTTCGCGGACATATGAATTAGTAGAGTAAGTGAACCAATGATAGCAATAAAATAAATTCCCACGAAAAGTAACGATTTTACAGTATTTTGACGAAACAGTGATACAATATCTTATTCAAACGTTGAAGTGATAAAAACACCAATAAAATACCAACATATCAATATAATAAAAATCCAAACTCAAATTCAATAAAATGTGTACAAAGAATGATTTACACGGAGACTACTGAAAAAGTACAATGATAATAAGACCAGATGTCCCGGAAGAGTAAGCGTCTTTTGCTTCATCGACGACACCCGCCAAGTGATTATTCACAATTAGGCACATCTATACTATAAAATGACAACGGATCAGTTTTTGATAGAAAGAAATGATATCAAGGAATTCCCATGGGGTTTGCAACTTAAACAATTTGTTTTACTTAAAGGAATAGGACATTTCGTTATCTCAACTTTAGCTTGATTCAAATTATGTTTATCCTTTGATGTGATAGCTTTAGTTTCATTTCGATGGATAGCAGGGACACTGTGTAAATAATCATGCCATTTCACTTATGTTATCAAACTCTGCACAATATCAGAGTTTATGGTCATTCATTGGTCGAGATAAACACATTGACATACTTTACCACGACTGAGATAATTTCGAATGAGTTCAGAATCTAGAGATATTGTTGTTATGTTGCTCGGAGGGATTTGCTGTCGTCATTGTTTAAAATCTATGTATAAGTGTTACACACGTTTTGATTTGATAAATACTGATCGGAAGTGACGTCACAGGAACATAGCGCACCGTAATTTCAGGAGTTGTTCGGTCTGGTTTGTGAAACAGAGGACGCTGATATGCTGACCAGTTTAATTTGTCATAAGTTTGATATTCAATTTAAAGAACTATAGGAAAACATTTAGGTATTGAATTGTCAGCCGTAAGGTGGCCCAGGAAAATAACAGATTGCATTGTAACTGGTAGTAGTTTTATGCGAAAACCATAGAGTACAAATCAACTGAAAGATTAATACCACAGGATAGGTATTCAGCTTTGTTTCTCCTGTGAACAATTTTCCAGTATTGAATTAATCATGTAGTGGCAGTTGATCAACAATGAAATTGTAACAACACGGCAATGTTTCAAACGGAATCATGAATTACCCTGCGAAATATCTAGGTCAAATGATAAAATCATGTTATTACGTCGTTCCAATGTTATTTTGTGGTGTTAAGCTTGTTGACTTATCTGTGATTAAGATGATTTGTTTTCTATTTCAGACATCCTTCAAACAAATACGTAAGCGACCCACTGGCACAGTGTTAAACATTACAAACCCAGGGTCAAGGTCAGACATGGAGAATTCGGTGAAATGCGTGTCTTGTAAGCAATTCTTTGACAACCATCAACACGTTCCGCATGTTCTTCCTTGTCTTCATTCCTGCTGTTCAACTTGTCTTAAGAAGTCATCTAGACAGTCTAAAATAATTTGTCCAGATTGTCAGGAATCATTTCATCTTGATGGCAAAGACATCTCGAAATTCCCAGTGGACACATCGAAAAAGCATATGGTGGATTTGTACAGGATAAAAAAGACACCAAATGAGTTTAATTGTGATCAGTGTGGAGAACAGGCCACTTCACGTTGTGGAGAATGTGAGGATTTTCTTTGTCTGGAATGCGATCAGGCACACCAGAAAACTAAACTCACTAAGTCACACAGAGTGATAAGTCTAGAAACACTCCGAAATTCATCAATCGAATCGCTTCACAACAAACCAACATGTCAAGTCCCGGGTCATGAGGGTTACTCACTCGGAAACTTTTGTGCCAAGGAAACGTGTAACCAGCCAGTATGTAGGCTCTGTGTGGGAAACGAGCACCCGGAAAGTGAAGGACACGTGATCAGAGATATCAACGACGTTTACGTAGAAAACAAACGACTTTTAGAGGGCTATCTTATTCATCTGCGACAGCAGTCAAATGCAATCGAACGAAAGATGGGAAAACTTGAAGAAGAGAGAGAAAGAGTGAAGATGAAAGACAATAAAGCCGAAGAAGAGTTTGAGCAGTATTTCCAAACGTGCGTTCTTGCGCTAGAAAAGCGGAGGATGGAACTGAAAGCTCGACTTCAAAATACACGAGAAAACAACGAGACAAATCTAAATAAACACATTGTTAAAATACAGGAGGAACGAAAACGCGTGAATCAGGCACGAAAATATGCGGAAGATCATTTGTCATACAGCGATGCGGCCGAGTTTTTAGTAGTAAAAGACCCAGTATTACAGAGGGTCAACAACTTGTCTCAAAATGATGTCACAAAGATCAGCAACCCTGTCACTTCTTCTGCAAAATTTGTGCCACATGGTACAACCGAAGATTTCATGAAATCGATCCCAGGTGTTGATGACGTAATAGCTACGTCAGCGTATTTACCAAACACGAAAGTAGAAACAAATGACATTTTCGTCGGAAAAGAGGAAACAGCACTGACAGTAACACTGTACGATCAACAAAATGTGCTTCTCAGAGAAACCGGCGTCAGTATTTCTGTGACCATCCTGGACCCAAAAGGCAGAACTGAGGATGCCAATGTTGAAGATTGTTCTGAATCTCACGGCTGTTATAAAGCTCACTATAAACCAACTGTTCCAGGAAAACACATAGCCAAAGTTGTGATATGTGGCGGAAACCTAAATAAAAAGGGATATCCATTTTATACACACGAATCCGACGAAACGTCTTTGGATTTGTCTGAACTTGAAACTCGTAAGTATGCAACATTATGTATTTTCATATAAAAACTATTTTGAACCCCCATATACCACATTGGTTGACCAAGATTTACATGGCGGGTGTCGCCAGTAAAGCAGAGACGCTTACTCTACCGGAACATCTGGTCTTATTCTAATTGTATTTGTTTTAAGAATTCTCAGTATAAATCTTTGTTTTTATTGACATTTTGCTATATTTTCATAGAATATTAGATAGAATTAAGACTATCTTGACATATCGATATTTTCGTCGTTGCTTTTAGATGTAAAATCTCGGTTTGTTGGGGCACATATTAGCGCTCAAGTGTAATTAACGTGGTGTGTTCTAAAGTACAACGTTTTGAATGTCTTTCGACATTCTTCACCTCTACATAATGTGTTTCTAATTTATCATCGAGTTCATACATTTTATCCAAAGTCATTTTTTCTATTTCTTATGATGTTACTTATCCGTGTACCTCCTAGCTTATTCTCAAGTTGGACGAAGATATTCCAATCAGCTTTTTCAGTATCATTTTTGCAGCCAAATCAACTGAGAGAAAAGAAAGCACGCCTTCCGAGGGATCCATGTCTCCCAAAGAACCAGAACTTTTCTGTAAGTAACCCATATCGTTTTATATTTGTTTTATGAAAACATACATATTTGTAGATAATATTACAAATATATATAGTGACTACATAATGTTATGTTGCTTTCTTTGCTTTATCATAATAATGAAATAATATTTTTATCGAACTCAAATGCAAATTAGGAGGGTTAACACTTTCTTTGTATAGAAGTAAATCAAATCCCAGCAGCTTATAGTTGATTCACGGTGCTTTAATGGCCTGTATTAGATTAGTTACAGTTAAATTATGAACAGCGTGAAGTGTTATAAAAAGAATAACACTATGAGTGTAGTCGATTGGAGATCAATGACCTTATGGGTTAAAAACTCCCGGGTCAATATTTATAAATAGATATTTAATTTCCTGAACTGGAGGTCACTCAATTGTAAAAATTCTATCAATGAATTTCCATAAGCTGGATGATCGCAAATAGCAATATCTAAATTACCTATGTAATATTGATCTCCGACCCAGAATGATTGGAAAAAGGCGATCGATTTGTATAGAAATCGTAGTGAATATCACAAATGGTACACGAAAATATTGCCAAATTTCTTTAATACAAACACTCCTTATCCGGTTGTCCACGATATATTTAAATGTCTTATGGGGCATAGCGACCTTTTGATAAAGGAAAAAGATTATAATAAATGAAAATAAAACGTAACCGACAGCATCAGGATTAAAACTTGTGCTGCGATGCAAATATGTTTGCTATCAACTAGGTAGCCTTCATATAAAATATGGTCTTTCAAATTAAAGAACACGTACATACAATTGATCCTATTTTACAAACATCCGTCGTACCGCCACAGAAAGGTTGTAAGAATTAAAATGTACCCTATAGTCATTTTGTGACTGGTAGTAACGACCTTACTTTCTTCATTATTCATAGTTTTCTTCCTACAGACTCCCTACAAATTACTTCCCTTTAGAATGAGCGCTCGCCCGAGAGAGCTGGTCATGGGCGTTAAACGCTCTCTCTTTGGCGCTCAACACTTAAGCAAGGTACTCAAAGAATCGATGTCAGTACACTGAACCGCGAGGTATGTCACGCTAAAGTGCTAGGAACATGGCATTTCAGTGATATACATCTATAAGTTACCCCATTTATGTCGGACTGTCCTTAATAAGATCAACACTTAATTAGAACATAAACAGTTTCTTTTACAAATATGCCAACAGCCTTTCGGACATCTGGACTTTCAGGCAATGTTTTCCTTAGAACGACTATACCTAACTCGACTATCAGTATTCAATATTTACATTTATAATTCACGAGATTACCAGACAGTGAGAATTCACGAGATTACTAGACAGTGAGAATTCACGAGATTACCAGACCGTGATATTAGTTCCTCATTCATGATGGGAATTTACATTACGTTTTTAATATTTTATTCAATTACAAATAGGCTAGCTCAGATGTACATGTATTGTAAAGCTTAAACCGTTTATCAAAATCAGCAATTACATACAATAGAGTTAAATAGTGAACTAAAGCATACAGCTGTTTCCTCATTCTAGGAATTGTCTGTGATACTAAGGTTCATTAATAGAAGATTGACTAAGTTAAATGGTTTTCATTCTTTATGAAACCTGTAACTTAAAACAAGGAACGTATTTAGCACAAATCTTTTTGATGTTGTTTTTGTAAAGACGTCATCTATTTTGTACCGAGAGAACAAGCTAACCATGTAGCCGAGACGTGAAAACAAACAAGCAAGATATGCATATAACAGAATAAGTAATAAATGGGAAAAGAAACTTGCTGCTTCGGAATATATATATATATATACTTGCTGCTGCACTGACAACACACGCAGTGTGATTACACGTTCTCAAAGGAAGAACCAAGGAAATGATGACAACCAGACCGATTTCTCAATTAGAAAATGACCACGACCAAGAATCGCCTTAAATTCCAAAATTTATAGTAATCCGTTTGCCGTCAACAAAAGTGTAAATCGATCAGGAGATAAATTAACTACAGTGTATCTTCCATAAATAAACCTGTCTCTGTTAGATATATAACAAATGTTAGAAAATTTCAATTGTCAAAATTTTGCCAAAACATCACCGTCAGATTTGAATTTATTTTCTGTATATTCCAGTATTTTGATTATGTTAAATTTTTTTCTTTAGTTCCAGACATCTGTTTCGACAGTTCCAAGTGCCATCCACAAAATGCAATTTCAAAGAGTGAACAAAAGATGACAAACCAAAAGGAACGCAAGCTATTGTCTGGAGTAGGAAACCGAGCCTTTGTGAGCTACAGAGGCACGATAAGTACCCGCCCACTCGGTAAAACAGGACATCAATATTTTGAGGTAGAAATCTATCTATTCATAAAAAGACAACTTCGCCAAGAACTGATGTTTGAAATAGGCCTGTCAAGAAAATCTCACATCGATAAACACTACACTATTGACTGTCATCCATATGCCTGGGTGATCTGTGCGAGGCGATGCTCCATCTGTGAATCAATTTGTTTCCAGGCTTGGCATAACAATTCGAAACTATTCCATACTTCTTTAACAAATGGAAAGAGCCCTGGGACAACATTTCGAGGAATTTACGGATTTCTACTGGACACAGAGCAACAACAACTTTTTGTGATAGACGCAAAATTGAAAAAATGCATCTACAGATTCCGAAATGTGGATACCAGCAAAGCCCTTTGGCCAACTTTTGCAATTTACAATCCTGACCTGGTGAACATCACAATGACACTTCGATCTGGGAATAGCATCACAGGTGAACCTAATGTTCCTGCAGATTTCTGATATAGACAACACTCACGTTTTCGTGGAGAGGAATGACACAAGAGAAAACTGTCTGTACTTTATTAGTAGTAAACATTGTATTTAGTACTCTATATTTGTATACCCATGTAGTTCCTTCTTTTCTACATAATTTTGCATTAATCGTTAAAACATGGACGTTACCATGCTGTAAAGATAATCATTATCGGTTGTTAAAAAATTTACAATTTCATTCCTTCCTCGAAAGTTGTGAAAACAAACCTTCATAGTACTGAATAGTTATCCAATGAACAGTTGATGTATCATACATGCACATGTAGGTGTTTCTGGTAACTCATTTTTATAGCGGTGTTTTGCGTAATAGAGTTTTGCTAGCCAAGGAATGTAAACTTAAATGACATGGACTGAGAATTGAATTACAAATTTCTTCATATCAACGGCATCTACTTGCAATAGATATAAACTCAAAACCAAAATAAAAATAAAATAAAAAGAGTAAAAGTTGAATATAGAGACCCAGTGAATAGCCATCCCTGATGTGATGTTTTCATTCATTTGCGGCTTTCGTTATGCAAATATTATTGCAAAGTTCATAAATGTCATGTGCACAAAGTGAGAACTGAGGTACCATCTTGTATTATCAATGTAAAATTCAGAATCATGAAAGGAAAAGGGCCATGTCAGTATAATCAAACATGTACGAAAAGTATTAAAGATTTTGAACACACGCAGTAATATTTAAGTCTTACCGAAATCTAGTTCATAATCATGATTAATCACACAAACTAGAATAATTCATTTTTTCTCAAACTGGAATATGTGAAAATTGCTATCGAAATACTGATTTCAATTTGCTTCCCGTTGCATAGCATTTGCTTATGTGAGTAAATTCCTGGATAAAATAAATACCGATTAGATGTTCATATTTCAGAAATCAACAAATGTACTGACACTTCTAAAATTCTCACCTCCTCGTCTCGAGTACTACTTAACGATGATAATACGACATGATCCATTTATCAACATTGATTACTTTTACAAGTTACAAATACTATTTAAACTATTATAAATGTATATGCTTCAACAGCTCCAACAGTTATAAATTTTGGATTTATTATTCAAATAATCCCAATTGTTATTGTAAGTAAAGAAATGTGTGCTGTGTGCTTCTAGTGTTACGTACTTGTTGTATTATGGGTAAAACATACTTTAACGATATAGCACAATGAGGCCAAATGCAGTTGTTGATACGTTGTAGTATTATCAGGTAATTTCTGTACCAAAGAAAAGTAGAGAAGAATCATAACTTTTCAAATCACGATTTCATTATTTTCAATCTGATTTGATATTTTTCGTTGATTTCAAAAAAAAAAAAAAAAATAAATAAATAAAAATATAAAAAAATAAAATAAATAAAAAAATAAAATAAAAATAAATGAAATAAATAAACAAAAATTCGTTCATAAAGTCTATTTTAAACGTACGATGTAAAACACAAAGGTATAAGGTGATAATGTTAAAAGTAAGACCCAAGCCTTGAAATACCCGACTAGCAGCATATATATCTAATTGTTAATATAATTAACATTTAATATATTCAATTAAGCTACTTGTAATTTTGGTTTTAAGTGGTGTTTTACTTGACGTAGAATACTTTAACGCTCCCTTTATGTAACATAAAAGTTAGTAGTACACCTCCGTGGTGTATAGTCATGAATTGTTTTCTTATCTTTTATAATAAATTTCAGTAAGATGTTATGAGGAATGTGTATCTTTATTTTTTTGTATTATTACTACGAAATCCATGAATTAAACCGATGCTTGATTGATGTTTGATTATTACTGGTGACTGATTTTGAAATCAGCTAACTTTAAAGGGTAAAACACAATGCTAACGAAGGTTAGAATATTTCCATTGGTAAAGATGGAATACGTTTGGTTATACAACGCTTATCCCTGTTGTCTATGGACAGAGAGTGGTAATGGCAGACAGACATGGATGGAAAAAGGCAGACTGAAGGACACGAAATAAAAAACAGATTGAAAATCAAGTTATCAAGACTTGCCTTTTTCCATTGCAGAACTTAAAGCTTACATATATTATTTTTATCAGATCGCATGTAATTTGTGCTGCAACAAATTTAATTAAATAATGGATGTTTTCTGCTATGCCTTATAGTAAAATACATTTTAATATTCAAGAAATAAAACATTACTCAATGACCTGTACAACTTCAACATAATTTTCATCAGCAGTCATTTTTTGAAACCCTGTCTTACGAGATTGTCCGTCAGTTGACGACCTCTTGAGCGCGAATCGTGACCATGGAAACAGGTATTTGAAAATCGAATCAACTTCAATATGTTAACACCATAGGATGAGGATGCAAGAATTAGCTATCAAGAAGTGGAAAACTCAAAATAGAGAAATTCTAATTATCACGATTAACATACAGCTGGATGGAAAGCTGTCTATGCTGGTCTCGTTGCAGGAAAAGACACAAACGGCCGACATTGACGATTCTGTCTTGTCTTTGATTTCTGTTGGGGTAAAAATTGAATCAGTTCTTTTTAGGAAGCAAAGACGATGGCCCTTTGTCTCTACCAACAGTACTATTTGTAACAAGTTAAAACTGTCAATCCATTGAAAAAACCCATTTTTGAATTTCTAAAGTAAATTAATAATCGATTTTGTCTTGATCCTTGTTGGAGTTACCTCCCTTTATACATTGCAGAGTATCGACAGGAGAGTTTCGCAAAGTGATATCTCTTACAAGAATATTTAAACTTACATGTGTGATCAACATGGAAAATACTTATCGTCAAAAAGTAGGAGAGTCAGACTTAAAGAATCCCGTTGGCAGTGTTTAATCTTGACATTCATTCATATCAGATGGAAGAGATGGACTAAATACGTAAGTTATTGGAAAGTCTGGGGAGTGCTTTCTAAAACAAACTAGGTACATTCATTGATATGATTTAGTTAGAATTACTACTTACCGCTTAATGATGTCTGCTTTCTTCACACTGAAGATTTTATTCAAATATTCTAAGTTACCTAACATTCCGACAATATGCGCTTCGCATTTGGCATTTCTTGATGACCATTGAATGAGAAATTAGGATATCTATTTTACAAATGGTTTCGACGCTAGAAGGACAATCAAACAATGCTAGGCATTATGTAAAGTATTCACAATTACTAAGATATCAACATAATCATAATTCAAACATAAATTCAATAAAACTAGAAGGACAAAGAATGAATAAAAAAGAGTTTTACAAGGAGAATCATGAAAAAGTACAAGGAGAATAAGACCACGTGTTCCGGAAGTGTAAGTTGTTTTTGAGTCACCGAGTGTATCTCCGGAAAGTGATACAGCTCGTTTGCTTAATTAAAACGTGCAACTGATAAGATTGCATGATAGTCACACTAGTAAGGTTATCCGCTTTGTGACAAGCTGGAAACTGATAGCACTTGAAGAAGGGGTTACAAATAAGTTTGTTCCCCTGTCTACAAACTGACGACGAATATTTTATGAGAGGGATGAAAAAAATGGTTCGGCAGGCTACAGACTGACAGCTGATCGACTTTAGGAATAATTGTCAGTTCAGAGTTTCGAAATATAACACAATACGTTCTGTGTCCTTTTGCAGTGGTATCCATTTCGATAAGCTGATGTGTTACCCGTTGTGCTCTTGTGAATTGCCATTTGAGACCATTTCTGGATTATGTCAGCTTTTTCACTGTCAACTTGACACACGGTAGTCAATAAAAGGCTTTGCCATTTTATCTATTTGAGAGTCTGTGTTTGTGTGACCTTTATAAAAAAACATAGTGTCCGTATTTGGTTCATAACAAAATAACATGGGATATCAATAAGAATTTCTCGCTTTCCTCGCAATCTACCTATTAATTTTTGATGTGTCTATTTATCTATTTAATTGCTAGTTACAATCATTCTAATGTATACCACCCTAGGACCAGACATTATATACGTTTTAGGGCAACACACCATGAAGGAATGTAGAGAGCATATGACAATAAGTTTTATTTCATTTGAAATTAATGAAACAAATGTTAGAGTTATCATTTTATCGATGATTTTAGTTAATTTCACCGGCAATATATCTTATGGGTTTTATCTGACATGTGATATATGAAAACGAGTCAAAATTTTAGAATTTCAGCGATCCTTTGGTAACAGGATTTATCAATCACATATCAATCAGACATGAATTCAATTTTTTTTCCAGATGAAAGAATAATTCAAGCAAACTGCAAACATTTCGGCTCTATATGGTCTAAATGCAATTTGTGGATGTGTGATATCTGAATTACTAATAACAAGAAGAAAACGCTTGGAGAAAGAAAACATTGTATTTACTGCGTTATGACCTCTGACTATCTTAAATATGATAATAGTTGTATTCAATTTTCTAAAGATTTGCTTTTAGGCATACTACATTTTAATAAAGGTATTTTTACACCGAACTCAATGTATGGTTTAGTTGCTGTATGATGTTTCCTAATATCGAGTTTTCCATTTCTTGATAGCAACATTCCTGCATTCTCAACCAAAAGTGCGTACATGTCACAGTTTATTCGATGTTTAGAGCCTGTTCAAATTGTTGTAGTTTTCATGCAAGAGGTCGTTAACTGACAGACAAACTCGTAACACAATTTTTTAAAAGATGAATGTTAAAGAAATTTCTGAGAAAGTTTTGTGGTTGTCATAGTGATCTTGTTGAGAAAGCTCTTATTTCTTTGTGCGATATGATATGGATATGTTTGGTGCTTCTTGTGTTCATCGTTTTCATTTGGAGTCATTATGTACTCTGATTCACCAAAGTCAACATGGTGTGGTCGAAGACGCTTACTCTTTCGGGACACTTTGTCTTATTCTCCTTGTTTTTTTACTGGAGTCTCCTTGTGGATATTTCCTTTGTTGATATTTTGCCCTATATTTACTGAATTTGAGTTTGGATTATGATTATGTTGAAATGTTGGTATTTTCGTGTAATTTATTCGAACCCATGACCTCTGCCTTACAAGGCTAACGATTTACCGATCGAGCTTCAGAAAGGTTCTTTGTAGCCGAACGGTACAAGAAAAGCCAATGGGCTAGTTACATGAGGAAAAGGAAAAAGATTTACAATTGAATTGAATACGAAATGAAATAAGTAGCTTAATTTTACTATAATCCTATCAATTGCATTTAGAGTCTTTGAATCGGAAGGCAAAATTGTAACATTGTTTTGAAGTAAAAATTAATGAAAAATATTGATTTCATTAAATAATCGGCATTAGCTCACTCGATAAAAAAAGCAAAACCATAAACATTGAAAGATATTTAATTAGTAGAAATAGATTAAAATTTGTATTACTTAAAGATATAGCTTTCATAACAAATTACAAACAATATGATAAAAATTGAAATAGGTATTATTTAAACCACAAGTTCGGTAATAAAAGAAAAAGTAAAAGTCTTGAACTTGAACTTGTTGTTTTTTCGCGTCTGTCAGTGTTCCTTTTCCATGTATGTCTGTCTTCCTTTATCAGTCCATGTCTATAGACAGATGAACGATAGATGACTACATGTGTTCCGTGTTACCGGTGGACATTTTTCTTCCACTGGTGTTCCTTTCCAACAAGTGAAAATATTCCTAACACCGGTGTTCCTTTCCAACTAGTGAAAATATTCCTAACACTGGTGTTCCTTTCCAACTAGTGAAAATATTCCTAACACTGGTGTTCATTTCCAACTAGTGAAAATATTTCTAACACTGGTGTTCCTTTCCAACTTGTGAAAATATTTCTAACACTGGTGTTCCTTCCCTACTAGTAAACTTTGTTTCATTTTCTGACCACTGGTGTACCTCCCCTTCAAGTGCAGATTCTCTTACCATCCCTGTGTTCTGTATCTCTTAACGAAGGTATTTTTCTGTTGTTCCTGATATTTTCTGACAACTGTTGTTCCTTCGATCCCTACCAGGAGAAATGTTCTTTCCTTTCTGGTGAACAGTTTCTAAACACTGGTGCATCTTCCCTTGTGGTATTCGCTTATTAATGGTGTAAACTCTCTGATTTTGCTATCATAAGCTTTTGGATATATTCCAATCTTTTCGTCTTTAATGAAAAACACGATCAGATCAGCGCCGCTTACATTATTTGCTGATGGAAGTGGTCTGAACAGTGGTTTTTCGGGCAGACAAACTCTGCAACAGAAACAAAAGTATTAAGACTAATGAGGATCAGTGTTTTTTCTTACGATAGGAAATATTATCAGTAAAACACATGTATGTTTTGTTTACATCAACAAACTAGATGTGCTGTACATATAACGATATGTCAAAGCAGTGTGCAATCATGCTGTGTCTGTTGTACAGTCTCTTTGCTTTACATCTTTGTTATGTCAAAAAAAAAAAAAAAAAAATTATATCAAGATCGAGTGGTTGAACAAAAACCACATGTAAAAATTGCAAACTAATTACATTTTTCCATCCTTTTTCCAACCCGATGTCAATAATCTAGGATTAAAGCTGAATTGCACCATCATATTTTAAATGAAATGTCACATATTACTAATGTAGCAATACCAATATTTACATGATTGATTTCCTAAATATTGTACAAAATGTTCTCGGGTAAATAATTTCTTTTTAAATGAAAATGAACCAATAAACTTCTATATCGTCAACAAAACGACAATATAAATACTTTTCAAGCGATTTACTCATTTCTTGATAGTAATAACCTGCTTCCCAAACCTATGGTGCTTACATGTCGCAGTTGATTGACAATTCAGTTCTTGATTCCAAAATAATGACTCCCGTATGGGATATGAATGAAAGTTGATAACAAAACTTCATGTGGATTGATATATGTTGTTGACACGTCGGTACGCTTTTTACTACGAGTACATACAGTGACAATAACAATATAGCATTTTCCTCATATTCATCAACGTCCGAGATCAAACAATGATGTGCTTCATATGACCTTCATTGTACATTTTAACGGCCATGTAAATATGAATTGAATACATGGCTATACAATCATCGAAGCATGGAACAATTTATTTGTAAGCACTTCGAAGCAATCAAATCATACAAAACAATTTTATTGTCGTTTCTCTTCACGTTTCTTTGATGTCTTATGATTTGGTTTTAATGTTTTTGTGTAACAATAACTGTTAAGCCAACGCAATGTAATTAGCGCTAATTATGATGTTCCTGTTTACAGTATATGAATATAAACGCCATGTTATTCTTCCAACTTTTTTTTATCTGATCAAGTATCAGTTTACACAATTGTCTTGCAATTGTTGATGAATTATATTTGTCAAACCATCCGACTTAAAAGGTTATGGCAAAGACATTAAAACATGATGTGATTAAATATGACGCCAAGAAAAACTTACATTCTGTCTTCTTCTCCAAACAGCTGACGCAGTGTATAGAAACGGATTGATGGCGGCATTGATAGGCAACACAAACACCATCACCCAGGCATACACTCCATTCGGGATTTCTACTCCACATCTTGTTACCACACCTGAAAAAGATCATATGTATGTCACACCTGGATATTACCTATTGATTAGTCAATGAATTAATGATTTTGATACATCATCTATACTCAGTTTTACGTTGTAATTATGGAATGGATTTGTTTAAGATCAGCGTTTGTCTAGAACTTATCAAATACGCATATCAGAAAAGATTCTACAAGATTGTTTAAAAAAATTACATGTTACTATATAGGTAAATGGTGTAGTTAGCAAACGTACCAAGGATTCCGATGGGACACCAACAACAAAAGTCTGTCGCAGCCACAAAGAACAAAGTTCTTGCAACAGAAATCTCTCTTTGACGGTTCTGGGATGAGGTTATTCGGCGACTGCTTGTTCTAATACTTTTGCAAATACAAACTTGACTAACAACTATTGCAACAAAGATTATGCTGTTTAGGCAAACAAACACTGCGAAAGAATACCCAGTTCCTGGCCGATCGCTTTTTATCAAAGGTAAGGCGAGACAAACACTTGATTGAGAGTAGAACTCTCCTTTGAAGTAAGATTGCATAGCAACAATAGGGATGATTGCAAGTGCGATAGAAACAACCCACAGAGACAAGGACAGAATCAAAGCCGGTTTCCATGTGATACTCCATTTTGAGAGGCGGGACAGAGGGAACATGATGACAATAAGTCTGTCCAACGTTACAAGCAGAATCAGAAAAGTTGACATTTCACTGGATACATTAGACAACACGCCAGCCATTGTGCAAAAAATACTGTTTCTCCAATGTCGGTCATTCCATGCATATGCACCGTCATAATACACATCAACGGCACCTATTATAAGTAGGTATACGCCCATCAGTAAATCAGATATACCCAGATTCAACGTAAAAAGCGAGTAGTTCTTTGTAATATTTCCCCTGTCGATGAATAGTCTGTAGACAATCACGACGACATTTCCGATTAAGGCAGATATTCCAATTATCCAAAGACACGTTCTTAATATCTGGGAGCTAACCAAAGCATCACAAGAAGATATCGCATCACCCTTTGACCCACATTCCTCCGGTTTCCAATCACAGTGCCAAATTTGATGTTGTGTTTCAATACAATTGGCATCCTCAACAGACGGTGGCTTAACACAACACATAAAAGGAACATCAGTCCATAGTTTTTGTAAATTATCCAAACCCTTAAACATGTTTTCTTCTACACTTAATTTGTTTCTTATTATATTTAATTCAGTTAAATTTCTTGGTAGATCTGGTAAATGTTTAAGTTCATTGTTTCCTACGTCAAGTATTTGAAGGTTTAAAGGCATGGCAAATCTGGGCTCCTTATTCCATTGGTATCGCTCCCTGCCACCCATTACTCCGGTGAAAACGTTACGGGGAATACTCTTAATTGTGTTGTTATGCATATGAAACGAAGAAAGTTTGGATAATCCAACGAGAAGATCAAACGGGATTTCCACTAAATTATTATGTGAAATATCGAGTACTTTGAGTTCCACCAGACCACTAAAGATATTATTTGGGAGAACTGAAATGCAGTTGACGGACAAATAGAGTGTGTTTAGACGAGACAATCCAAGGAATAGATTGGGAGGGAGACCCGTTATGCTGTTATTGAATAATGAGAGGAAATCCAGTTTCGACAATCCACTGAACAGATCATGTGGGAGATGTTTTATTCTATTATCAGACAGGTGGAGCGTTGTAAGATCTGTTAACCCAAAAAATACATCATGGGGTAAAACTGATATGTTAGTATTGCCAAGATTGAGTTCAGTAAGTTCATTAAGCCCACGAAACACGTCGTGGGGGAGATCTGAAATATAATTACCCACAAGCATTAAGCGAGTGAGCTTTGACAGGCCATGAAACACAGAATTTGGCAATTTTGTTATATTATTCCTATATAAATCAAGAAAAACAAGTTTAGAGAGGCCAGAGAATACATCACATGTAAAACCTGATATATTGTTATCGTTAAGTATGAGGGATGCTAAATTTGATAAACCATTGAATACATTGCATGGCAGATTTAGGATATGATTATGGTACAAAAAGATATACTTCAGTTCGTATAATTCGTCAAACACATTATGAGGCAGGGAACTTATGCTATTGTTGTGCAAGTCAATTAGTTCGAGATGACAAAGTCCAGTAAACAGATTATGAGGTAGATGTGTCAGTTTATTATCGTACAGGTATAAATCTGTAAGATTATAAAGTCCATCAAACACGCTGTGATGAAGAGTAGTTATCTTATTACCTGACATATATAGATTAGTCAGGTCAGATAATCCACTAAATGTATTGTAGGGGAGGTCTATAATAAGGTTATTGGACAAAGAAAGGGAGGTAAGTTTCGACAGCTCACTAAACACATTATTAGGGACTGTTACTAGCTCATTTGAGGACAGATCGAGTCTGGACAGTTGCGAAAGTCCACTAAACATATTATGAGTGAGAAATTTGATTTTGTTGTAGTCCAAACTTAGAAAAGAAAGTTTAGTGAGTCCAGCGAACAGATCATTTTGAAAGACTGTCAAATTATTTCTAGTCAATGTAAGAATAGTAAGTTCATGAAGATCATCGAACGCGTTAACAGGAAGAACAGAGATGCTGTTGTTGAACAGATTAATGGAGGTGAGATTAGGCAATCTATGGAATATATTAATCGGCAGAACGGATAATTGAGCACTTGAAAGATGAAGATAAACGGAAGGTGGGAGGTCTATAGACAAGCAGTCGTAGACAGCTGTACAGTTGTGCACTTCTGAAAGAAACAAAACAAAAAAATTGAAAACTACAATGACAGATAATAAAATTAAACTCATTTCGGACCATGCCGTACCATAATACAAAACCAAATATGAAAAATGGAGATTCTGGTACATATTCTTTTCTTAATTAAACACTTGATAGTAGAAGAAAAGGTGAACGGGAAACATTCAAATGCCAATAACGAATTATACACAGTGTATCCTAATGTGAACTAAATTAAATGATAGAGCTTCTTCGTTATACTAAGACTTGTCAGGGATACATAATGTCGAAACCAAAGAGGTGACTAAGAAAAATACACAATGACCGAAATAACTTGTTTATTTAAAATAAAAATGAAAATATGGGCATGGTCATTTTAATTCAAACGACAATCATTTTATGTTTGGTTGATGAACAACTTCTCAATTGCTGTATGAATATTAGGACGGATGTCTACCATAGAAAGATTAAATAAGAAAATCAAAGAGAAAAGAGGGAAGACCTAAAAATTTTAAAATGATTTATAAAGTTAATAGTGAAAATTTGTCCATAACTTGGTGAAGGCTTACCACAGCCGTATCCGGTTTCTTGTCCTGGACACTGAATACAACATTCATATTTCAAAAGTTCGCGTGATGTTTCTGCCGGACAGGTCTCTTCGATATCTGAGAGGCTCCCTATAACCAATATTCGATAGTTTTAAAACGGCATCTACTATATTCAACGATTCGAATGCCCAAGCCGAAAATATGAAAAAAGGAAGAAAATTCATCACTGAAAGCTACAACTTTAAAAGATAATATTTTTTCTAAAAAGTAATATTTAAAAATTCGAATGTGATGGCGTTTAGCTTATAAGTATAGATACGCTGTTATAGACATAAAGTAGGTGTACTTCAGAAATATAGTGGACGTACTCCAGACATAAAGTAGATATACTTTAGAAATATAGTGGACGTACTCCAGACATAAAGTAGATGTACTTCAGAAATATAGTGGACGTACTTCAGACATAAAGTAGATGTTCTTCAGAAATAAAGTGGGCATACATCAGACATAAAGTAGATGTACTTCGGGAATATAGTGGGCGTACTTCAGACATAAAGTAGATGTACTTCAGAAATGTACTGGACGTACTTCAAACATAAAGTAGATGTATTTCAGAAATATATTGGACGAACTTCAGACATAACGTAGATGCACTTCAGAAATATAGTGGACGTACTTCAGACATAAAGTAGATGTACCTCAGAAATATAGTGGACGTACTTCAGACATAAAGTATATGTACCTCAGAAATATAGTGTTAGTACTTCAGACATTAAGTAGATGTACTTCAGATATGAAGTGGACATACTTAAGATATAAAGTGGGGATACGTTAGACAAACTTCATGAAAGGTTTTGACACAGATGGATTATACTTCAGGCACATAGTGGACATATTTAAGATATATGTTTGGTATACGTTAGACAAACTTATAGCATAGGATGGACTTAATTCCGACCTATATTTCAGACATATAGCTGACGTACTTTAGAAAAAAAAATCAAACGTCGGATATGGAGTCGTATTAATTCAGAAATAGAGACATAATTAAAAGCCATAATTGATATACTGCAAATATTGATATAATTAAACTATAATTATATATATACTTTAAACATTACAATAAAGAAAAGATTCAAACCCAAGCAACAAGTCTTTTCAGCTGAATAAAATATTAAAGTAAAATATCTTACTTTCAGGACATTGAACTCGTAATTGTCGCTTCGATCGTTTCACACTTCTTTTGCTTTTTGTAGCGACATCGATGTGAGATAAAGCTCTGTTTTTGCTTTTGTACAGGCTGTCTTCTTTTTCATTTTTCATTTGAATAATTCCATTCTCCGTTTCAATCATTTTTCTTGAATTCGCAATCAAGGTAAAAAATATAATGAATATACCAAAGTATATTATCAACTTCGCCATGATTGTAGTGACGGTGTTTAGATGAATATCTGGAATATTTAAAGGACAAACTGCCTAGTAAGCCAGATGGAGTAATTTCACAGAATAAACGCCTTGATGACTGGAGTGACGTCACAACACAACAAAACACTTGGCATCCGGACCTATATATGTCACTTAACAAAAGCTTAAGCAAATGGAGCAACAGACAACTGTCCTCACAAATGGAGCGATGTCACAGGAAAACTGTCCTAACAAATGGAGCGATGTCACAGAACAACTGTCCTAACAGATGGAGCGATGTCACAGGACAACTGTCCTCACAAATGGAGCGATGTCACAGGACAACTGTCCTAACAGATGGAGATATGTCACAGAACAACTGTCCTCACAAATTGAGCGATGTCACAGGACAACTGTTCTAACAGATGGAGCGATGTCACAGAACAATTGTCCTAACAAATGGAGCGATGTCACAGGACAACTGTTCACAAATGGAGCGATGTCACAGAACAACTGTTCTAACAGATGGAGCGATGTCAGAGTAACGGTCTTGCTAATTCAGCGATGTCACAAACAATTGCCCAGATCACTGGAAAGATGTCACAGAAAAACAATAGAAGCCTCTGATATGATGTAGCTTAATAACTCTCCGAGTGACAGGAATGATATCACAGAACGACTGTCCAAGCGATCCGAAAAATGTTACATTGATGAAGTATCAATATCGATATCCCAATGGACTGTCACAAAGACCACGGATATAGAGCAGTGTTTATTTGAAAGGTCGAAGTATAATGTGTTTTATAGGATATGACATTCTAGCGATTATTTGTCCTTCAGGACCATACTGGTGTATGAATAAATAGGTGGAGTGCGGCCCATGATGGTCTCTTGTAGAAAAAAAACCGAGAGAAGCAGTCGATGGCGAAAAGTCTGCGTGTCTTTGATTTCCAAGGGTATAAACGATAGTCAATCTGAGCGGAGATACTGAAAAAACTTTGCTTAAAAATTGCATTTACTTCATCAATATGTATTTATAAATGTGGTTCATCTCGGGATATAGATATAACAAACGTTCGATGGAGAAAAAAAATACCAAAAAAAATAAACAAACGGTTGTCTCGTAATTGGTGTCAAAATTGAATCAGTTCTTTTTAGGAAGTAAAGACGATGGTCAATTTTCTCTTTATCAACAATACTATTTGTAACAAGTGACAACTGTTCAATAGATAAATTAGTAAATTGGTTACCAATGTTTTTTTACCATTGAAAAAATCCATTTCTGAATTTCTGGAGTAAATTAATAATCGATTTTGTCTTGATCCTTGTTGGAGTTACCTCCCATTATACATTGCAGGGTAACGACAGGAGAGTTTCGAAAAGTGATATCTCTTACACCAATGTTGAACTTACGTGTGAGATCAACATGGAAACTCCTTATGATCAAAATGTAGAAGGGCCAGACTGTATGAATCCAATTGTCCGTGTTTAATATTGATATTCCTTCATATCAGATGAAAGAGATAGACTAAATAAGGATATTTATTTAACAAATGGTTTCGACGCTAGAAGGACAATCAAACAATGCTAGGCATTATGTAAAGTATTCACAATTACCAAGATATCAACATAATCATAATTCAAACATAAATTCAATAAAACTAGAAGGACAAAGAATTTTACAAGGAGAATCATGGAAAAGTACAAGGAGAATAAGACCACGTGTTCCGGAAGTGTAAGTTGTTTTTGAGTCACCGAGTGTATCTCCGGAAAGTGATACAATACATTTAAGCTTGTTTGCTTAATTAAAAAGTGCAACTGATAAAATTGAATGAGAGTAACACTAGTAAGGTTATCCGCTTTTTTACGGGCTGAAAACTGATAGCACTTGAAGAAGGGGTTACAAATAAGTTTGTTCCCCTGTCTACAAACTGACGACAAATATTTTATGAGAGAGATGGAAAAAAAAAAAAAATGTTGTCCGGCAGGCTACAGATTGACAACCGATATGCTTTAGGAATAACTGTCAGTGCAGATTTTCTAAATATAACACAATACGTTCTGTGTCCTGCTGCTGTGGTGTCCATTTCGATAAGCTGATGTGTTAAGCGTTGTACTCTTGTGGATTGCCATTTGAGACCATTTCTGGATTATGTCAGCTTTTTTGCTGTCAACTTGACACACGGTAGTCAAAAAAAGGCTTTGCCATTTGATCTATTTGGAATTTTGTATTTGTGTGACCTTTATAAAAAAACTGGTGACTGATGATGTCTGGTTATAAAACGAGACATAGTGTCCTTATTATGGGATATCAATCAGAATTTCTCACTTTCCTCCCAATCTACCTATTAATTTTTGATGTGTCTATTTATCTATTTAATTGCTAGTTACAATCATTCTAATGTATACCACCCTAGGACCAGACATTATATACATTTTAGGGCAACACATCATGAAGGAATGTAGAGAGCATATGACAAAAAGTTTTATTTCATTTGAAATTAATGAAACAAATGTTAGCGTTATTATTTTAACGAGGAAAATGTTACGATTTCAGTTAATTTCACCGGCAATATATGATATCTTATTGGTTTTATCTGACATGTGATATACGAAAATTTTAAAATTTCAGCGATCCTTTGGTTACAGGATTTATCAATCACATATCAATCAGACAGGAATTCAATTTTTTTTCAAGATGAAATAATAATTCAAGCAAACTGCAAACATTTCGGCTCTATATGGTCTAAATGCAATTTGTGGATGTGTGATATCTGAAATACTAATAACAAGAAGAAAACACTTGGAGAAAGAAAACATTGTATTTACTGCGTTATGACCTCTGGCTATCTAAAATATGATAATAGTTGTATTCAATTTTCTAAAGATTTGCTTTTAGGCATACTACATTTTAATAAAGGTATTTTTACACCGAACTCAATGTATGGTTTAGTTGCTGTATGATGTTTCCTAATATCGAGTTTTCCATTTCTTGATAGCAACATTCCCGCATTCTCAACCAAAGGTGCGTACATGTCACAGTTGATTCGATGTTTAGAGCCTGTTCAAATTGTTGTAGTTTTCATGCAAGAGGTCGTTAACTGACAGACAAACTCGTAACACAAGGTTTTAAAAGATGAAGGTTAAAGAAATTGATGAGAAAGTTTTTGCGGTTGTCATAGTGATCTTGTTGAGAAAGTTCTTATTTCTTTGTGCGATATGATATGGATATGTTTGGTGCTTCTTGTGTTCCTTGTTTTCATTTGGTGTCATTATGCACTCACCAAAGTCAACATGGCGTGGTCGTCGATGAAGCAGAAGACGCTTACTCTTTCGGGACACTTTGTCTTATTCTCCTTCTTCTTTTTTTACTGGAGTCTCCTTGTGGATATTTCCTTTGTTGATATTTTGCCCTATATTTATTGAATTTGAGTTTGGATTATGATTATGTTGAAATGTTGGTATTTTCGTGTAATTTATTCGAACCCATGACCTCTGCCTTACAAGTCTAACGCTTTACCGATTGAGCTTCAGAAAGGTTCTTTGTAGCCGAACGGTATGTTGCAGCGCACATTTACCAGTGTTACACATCGGTTAATGCTTGTGGCAGATAACGGAAATGCGAGATTGATCAGACCTGGGGAATAACAGCCTTTCGCTATCAGTTTTAAATTATAACACTAAATCTTTTGATTGGGTGATTTCGCAAGTTAAGTCAATGGGCTAGTTACATGAGGAAAAGGAAAAAGAGTTTCAATTAACTTGAATACGAAGTTAGATAAGTAGCATTATTTTACTATAATCCTATCAATTGCCTTCATAGTCTTTGAATCGGAAGGCAGAATTGTAATATTTTTTTGAAGTAAAATATAATGAAAAATATTGATTTCATTAAATAATCGGCATTAGCTCACTCGATAAAAAAAGCAAAACCATAAACATTGAAAGATATTTAATTAGTAGAAACAGATTAAAACTTGTATTACTTAAAGATATAGCTTTCATAACAAATTACAAACAATATGATAAAAATTGAAATAGGTATTATTTAAACCACAAGTTCGGTAATAAAAGAGAAAGTAAAAGTCTTCATACATTGGTTTTGAACTTGTTTTTTCGTGTCCGTCAATGTGTCTTTTTGATGTATGTCTGTTTCCCTTTATGACTCCATGTCTATAGACGGATGAACGTTAGATGACTACACGTGTTCCGTGTTACCGGTGGACATTTTCCTTCCACTGGTGTTCCTTTCCAACTTGTGAAAATATTCCTAACACCGGTGTTCCTTTCCAACTAGTGAAAATATTCCTAACACTGGTGTTCCTTCCCTACTAGTAAACTTTGTTTCTTTTTCTGACCACTGATGTACCTCCCCTTCAAGTGAAGATTCTCTTACCATCCCTGTGTTCTGTATCTCTTAACGAAGGTATTATCTGACCAAACGCAGATATTTTCTGACTACTGTTGTTCATTCCCTACCAGGAGAAATGTTCTTTCCTTTCTGGTGAACAGTTTCTAAGCACTGGTGCATCTTCCCTAGATATTTTCTTATCAGTAGTGTTCGCTTATTACTGGTGTAAACTCTCTGATTTTGTTATCATAAGCTTTTGAATATATTCCAATCTTTTCGTCTTTAATGATAAACATGATCCGATCAGCGCCGTTTATATTATTTGTTGATGGAAGTGGTCTGAACAGTGGTTTTTCGGGCAGACAAATTCTGCAACAGAAACAAAAGTATAAAGACAAACCATATGTAAAAATGCAAACTCATTACATTGTTCCATCCTTTTTTCCAACCCGATGTCAATACACTAGGATTAAAGCTGAATTGCACCATCATATTTTAAAGGAAATGTCATATATCACTAATGTAGCACTACCGATATTTACAGAAGTCACGTAGCACAGTATCAGTCTGATTGATTTCATGAATATTATACAAAATTAGCGCTAATTATGATGTTCCTATTTAAACTATACAAATATAAACGCCATGTTATTTTTCCAACTTTTCTTATCTGATCAAGTATCATTTTACATAATTGTCTTGCAATTGTTGATGGCGGGCGTACGCTAAATTATATTTGTCAAACCATCCGACTTAAAAAGTTATGGAAAAGACATTAAAAACATGATATGACTAAATATGACGCCAAGAAAAACTTACATTCTGTCTTCTTCTCCAAACAGCTGACGCAGTGTACAGAAACGGATTGATGGCAGCATTGATAGGCAACACAAACACCATCACCCAGGCATACACTCCATTCGGGATTTCTACTCCACATCTTGCTACCACACCTGAAAAACATCATATGTATGTCACACCTGGATATTACCTATTGATTAGTCAATGAATTAATGATTATGATACATCATCTATACTCAGTTTTACGATTGAATAACATCCGGTTGATTTGTTTAAGATCAGCGTTTGTCTAGAACTTATCAAATACGAATATCATAAAAGATACTACAAGATTGTTTAAAAAGTTACATGTTACTATATAGGTAAATGGTATAGTTAGCAAACATACCAAGGATACCGATTGGACACCAGCAACAAAAGTCTGTCGCAGCCACAAAGAACAAAGTCCTTGCAACAGAAATCTCTCTTTGACGGTTCTGGGATGAGGTTATTCGGCGACTGCTTGTTCTAATACTTTTGCAAATACAAACTTGACTAACAACTATTGCAACAAAGATTATGCTGTTTAGGCAAACAAACACTGCGAAAGAATACCCAGTTCCTGGCCGATCGCTTTTTCTCAAAGGTAAGGCGAGACAAACACTTGATTGAGAGTAGAACTCTCCTCTGAAGTAAGATTGCATAGCAACAATAGGGATGATTGCAAGTGCGATAGAAACAACCCACAGAGACAAGGACAGAATCAAAGCCGGTTTCCATGTGATACTCCATCTTGAGAGGCGGGACAGAGGGAACATGATGACAATAAGTCTGTCCAACGTTACAAGCAGAATCAGAAAAGTTGACATTTCACTGGATACATTAGACAACACGCCAGCCATTGTGCAAAAAATACTGTTTCTCCAATGTCGGTCATTCCATGCATATGCACCGTCATAATACACATCAACGGCACCTATTATAAGTAGGTATACGCCCATCAGTAAATCAGATATAGCCAGATTCAACGTAAAAAGCGAGTAGTTCTTTGTAATATTTTCCCTGTCGATGAATAGTCTGTAGACAATCACGACGACATTTCCGATTAAAGCAGAAATTCCAATGATCCAAAGACACGTTCTTAATATCTGGGAGCTAACCAAAGCATCACAAGAAGATATCGCATCACCCTTTGACCCACATTCCTCCGGTTTTAAATCACAGGTCCAAATTTGATGTTGTGTTTCAATACAATTGGCATCCTTAACAGACGGTGGCTTAACACAACACATAAAAGGTACATCGGTCCATAGTTTTTGTAAATTATCCAAACCCTTAAACATGTTTTCTTCTACATTTAATTTGTTTCTTATTATATTTAATTCAGTTAAATTTCTTGGTAGATCTGGTAAATGTTTAAGTTCATTGTTTCCTACATCAAGTATTTGAAGGTTTAAAGGCAAGGCAAATCCGGGCTCCTTATTCCATTGGTACCGCTCCCTGCCACCCATTACTCCGGTGAAAACGTTACGGGGAATACTCTTAATTGTGTTATTATGCAAATGAAACGAAGAAAGTTTGGATAATCCAACGAGAAGATCAAACGGGATTTCCACTAAATTATTATGTGAAATATCGAGTACTTTGAGTTCCACCAGACCACTAAAGATATCATTCGGGAGAACTGAAATGCAGTTGACGGACAAATAGAGTGTGTTTAGACGAGACAATCCAAAGAATAGATTTGGAGGGAGACCCGTTATGCTGTTATTGAGCAAATCCAGTTTCGACAATCCACTGAACAGATCATGTGGGAGATGTTTTATTCTATTATCAGACAGGTGTAGTGTAGTAAGCTTTGTTAACCCAAAAAATACATCATGAGGTAAAACTGATATGTTATTATCGCCAAGACTGAGTTCAGTAAGTTCATTAAGCCCACGAAACACGTCGTGGGGGAGATCTGAAATATAATTACCCACAAGCATTAAGCGAGTGAGCTTTGACAGGCCATGAAACACAGAATTTGGCAGTTTTGTTATATTATTCCTATATAAATCAAGAAAAACAAGTTCAGAGAGGCCAGAGAATACATCACATGTAAAACCTGATAAATTATTTTCGCTAAGTATGAGGGATGCTAAATTTGATAAACCATCGAATAAATTGCATGGCAGATTTAGGATATGATTATGGGAAAAAAAGATGTACTTCAGTTTGTATAATCCCTCAAACACATTATGAGGCAGGGAACTTATGCTATTGTTGTGCAAGTCAATTAGTTCGAGATGACAAAGTCCAGTAAACAGATTATGAGGTAGATGTGTCAGTTTATTACCGTACAGGTATAAATCTGTAAGATTATAAAGTCCATCAAACACGCTGTGATGAAGAGTAGTTATCTTATTACCTGACATATATAGATTAGTCAGGTCAGATAATCCACTAAATGTATTGTAGGGGAGGTCTATAATAAGGTTATTGGACAAAGAAAGGGAGGTAAGTTTCGACAGATCACCAAACACATTATTAGGGACTGTTACTAGCTCATTTGCGGACAGATCGAGTCTGGAAAGTTGCGAAAGTCCACTAAAGATATTATGAGTGAGAAATTTGATTTTGTTGTAGCCCAAACGGAGATTAGAAAGTTTAGTAAGTCCAGCGAACAGATCATTGTGAAGGACTGTCAAATTATTGCTATTCAATGTAAGACTAGTAAGTTCATGAAGATCATTGAACACGTTAACAGGAAGAACAGAGATGTTGTTGTTGAACAGATTAATGGAGGTCAGATTAGGCAATCTATGGAATATGTTACTCGGCAGAACGGATAATTGAGCTCTTGAAAGATCCAAATGAACGGAAGGAACAGATCGAGTTGAGAGGTCTATAGACAAGCAATCGGAGACAGCGGTACAGTTGTGCACTTCTGAAAGAAACAAAACAAAACAATTGAAAACTACAATGACAGATAATAAAATTAAACTCATTTCGGACCATGTCGTACCATAATACAAAACCAAATATGAAAAATGGAGATTCTGGTACATATTCTTTTCTTAATTAAACACTTGATAGTAGAAGAAAAGGTGAACGGAAAACATTCAAATGCCAATAACGAATTATACACAGTGTATCCTAATGTGAACTAAATTAAATTATTAAGCTGCTTCGTTATTCTAGGTCTCGTCAGGGATACATAATGTCGAAACCAAAGAGGCGACTAAGAAAAATTCACAATGACTGAACTTGTTTATTTAAAATAAAGATGGAAATATTGGCATGGTCAATTTAATTCAAGCGACAATCATTTTATGTTTGGTTGATTAACAACTTCCTAATTGCTATGTGAATATTAGGACGGATGTCTACCATAGAAAGATTAAAAATTTGACCATCACTTGGTGGAGGCTTACCACAGCCGTAACCGGTTTCCTGTCCTGGGCACTGAATACAACATTCATATTTCAAAAGTATGCGTGATGTTTCTGTCGGACAGGTCTCTTCGATATCTGAGAGGCTCCCTAAAACCAATATTCGATAGTTTTAAAACGGCATCTACTATATTCAACGATTCGAATGTGATGGCGTTTTGCCTATTAGTATAGAGACACTGGAATAGCAAGGGTGTTTAGAATAACAAACTGAATAATATTTGAGTCAATAATAAATCTAATGGAGATATCAAACATGTACATACATGTAATTGATGTAATGGAATAAATATATTCCAAACATATAGTGCACATACTTGAGACATAGTAGACGTACTTCAGACATAAAGAAGATGCACTTTAGATATATAGTGACCGTACTTCAGAAATATAGTGGACGTACTTCAGACATAAAGTAGATGTACTTCAGAAATATAGTGGACGTACTTCAGACATAGAGTAGATGTACTTTAGAAATATAGTGACCGTACTTCAGAAATCTAGTGGACATACTTCAGACATAGAGTAGGTGTACTTCAGAAATATAGTGGACGTACTTCAGACATAGAGTAGATGTACTTCAGAAATATAGTGGACGTACTTCAGACATAGAGTAGATGTACTTCAGAAATATAGTGGACGTACTTCAGACATAGAGTAGATGTACTTCAGAAATATAGTGGACGTACTTCAGACATAAAGTAAATGTACTTCAGAAATACAGTGGACGTACTTCAGACAAAACGTAGATGTACTTCAGAAATACAGTGGACGTACTTCAGACATAAAGTAGATGTACTTAGGAAATATAGCGGAAGTACTTCAGACATAAATAGGCATTCTTCAAACAAGTAATAGACATACATCAGACACATATTAGAGATACTTCAGACATAAGGTGGACATACTTAAGTGGGGATACGTTAGACGTATAGTAGATAAACTTCATAAATAGACTTGACATACTTTAGCCATAAAGCGGTTATACTTCAGGAACATACTGGACATATTTAAGACATATATTTGGCATACATTAGACAAACATATAGCATAGGATGGACTTTATTCCGACTTATATTTCAGACATAAAGTTGACGTACTTTAGAATAAATGGATATGCTTCAAACACAAAATGACCATAAATGTACCCCAGACATAGATTGGTCAAACTTCGGATATGGAGTGGTACTAGTTCAGAGACATAATTAAAAGCCATAATTGATATACTGGAAATATTGATATAATTAAACTATATATATATATATATATATATACTTTGAACATACTTCAGGAAAATATACCAAAAAGTCATTTGACAAAAACGATCCATTGAACAGACACCAATAGCCTAATGACGTATAACAGGTATTCGTCAACATTACAATAAAGAAAAGATTCAAACCCAAGCAACAAGTTTTTTCAGCTGTATAAAATATTAAAGTAAAATATCTTACTTTCAGGACATTTAACTCGTAATTGTCCCTTCGATCGTTTCACACTTCTTTTGCTTTTTGTAGCGACATCGATGTGAGATAAAGCTCTATTTTTGCTTTTGTACAGGCTGTCTTCTTTTTCATTTTTCATTTGAATAATTCCATTCTCCGTTTCAATCATTTTTCTTGAATTCGCAATCAAGGTAAAAAATATAATGAATATACCAAAGTATATTATCAACTTCGCCATGATTGTAGTGATGGTGTTTAGATGAATATCTGGAATATTTAGAGGACAAACTGCCTAGTAAGCCAGATGGAGTAATTTCACAGAATAAACGCCTTGATGACTGGAGCGACGTCACAACAAAACACTTGGCATCCGGACCTATATATGTCACTTAACAAATGCTTAAGCAAATGGAGCAACAGACAACTGTCCTAGCAAATGGCGCGATGTCACAGGGCAACTGTCCTAACAAATGAAGCGATGTCACAGAACCATTGTCCTCACAAATTGAGCGATGTCACAGGACAACTGTCCTCACAAATGGAGCGATGTCACAGGACAACTGTCCTTGCAAATGGAGTGATATCACAGGACAGCTGTCTTTACAAATGGAGCGATGTCACAGGACAACTGTCCTAACAAATGGAGCGATGTCACAGGACAACTGTCCTAGCAAATGGAGCGATGTCACAGGACAACAGTTCTGACAAATGGAACGATGTCACCGAACAACAGTTCTAACTGATGGAGCGATGTCAGAGTAACGGTCTTGCTAATTCAGCGATGTCACAAACAATTGCCCAGATCACTGGAAAGATGTCACAGAAAAACAATAGAAGCCTCTGATATGATGTAGCTTAATAACTCTCCGAGTGACAGGAATGATATCACAGAACGACTGTCCAAGCGATCCGAAAAATGTTACATTGATGAAGTATCACTATCGATATCCCAATGGACTGTCACAAAGACCACGGATATAGAGCAGTGTTTATTTGAAAGGTCGGAGTATAATGTGTTTTATAGGATATCACATTCTGTTGATTATTTGTCCTTCAGGACCATACTGGTGTATGAATAAATAGGTGGAGTGCTGCCCATGTTGGTCTCTTGTAGAATAAAAAACCGAGAGAAGCAGCCGATGGCGAAAAGTCTGTGTGTCTTTGATTTCCAAGGGTATAAACGATAGACAATCTGAGCGGAGATACTGAAAAAACTTTGCTTAAAAATTGAATTTACTTCATCAATATGTATTTATAGATGTGGTAAATCTCGGGATATAGATATAACAAACGTTCGATGGAGAAAAAAAATAATAAAAAAACAAACAAACGGTTGTCTCGTAATTGGTGTCAAAATTGAATCTATTCTTTTTAAGAAGTAAAGATAATGACCCTTTTATCTATCAATAACTTGACAAATTGATTTACAAATGCTTTCTATTATCACAAAAAGCTATATGAAAACTTCTAATGTAAATAAATAATCGATTTTCACTTGATCATTGTCGGAGTTATCTCCCGTTGTACATTGTTGGGTATGGACAGATGCGTATCGAACAGTGATATATGTTTCACGGACGATTAAATTCTCGGATATGAGCAATATGTAAACGCTATCAACAGGAAACACATTAGTTGGCAAAAAGTTGGAAAGTCAAAATAAATAAACAAATAAACATCTAAAATAAAGGAATAACTATATAGATATATATGAATACAACATCAACAATAACATTTGGCATATATCGATGATTGTTAGAGTTATCTCCCTTGGTTAGCATTTAACCTTCATATATGGATTAAAAAACGTAAGTTATATTGAAGTGAGAAGCAAGCTTTCTTAAACATACCACGTACATTCATTGAAAGGATTTAGTTAGATCTGTTACTATCTGCTGAATAACGTTTAATTATTTCGTGAAGGAAAGCTTATTCAAATATTTGAAGTTACTAAACCCTCCTAGAAAATGCTCTTTAAATTTGGCAGTTATCTTATTTGGCTCATTTCAAATTTCAAACTTATTCAAACTTCCCATTTTTTGGCAAATCTGAAAAGTTATTCCACCTTCCGACAAAATGCTCTTCACATTTGATTGCCAGTGAATGTGATATCAGTGCCTTTATTTTACAATTCGTTTCAACCCTAACAGGACCATCACATCATGATTTTCACTCATCAGTACATAAGTAAAATTGGCATTAAAACCAGAGGGAAAACCCTTCCCACGGTGATGTTAACATCGGCACTTGGCTTAATCTACACGCTGAAATGATCTTGTTTAATTTCTAAGTGGGGTGTGAAGACTTTTTTGAATTTGTAGGCCCATGAATATTATAGACAACAAAATTATTCCCAAACTTTCTATTTAGTAATATATTCTATAATTATCAACGAAAGACAATATGTACTTTGACAGTTTAATTCATCATTTCATATACAAAATGAGATATGCGATCGGTACCAAATTTTTCTTCAAAATACATTATCTTCGTAATGACATAGTGAATAAGACAATTTTGCAATTAAAAAGACATAGACAGGAAAGGGGGAGAGTGTGGGAGTTGGTGGAGTGTTTTTATTTTTGTTGGGAGGATGCAAATCTAACTTAAATTAAATTCATCTTCATACGCAGTCGTCTCTCCTTTTAAAACCCAGACATGCTCAATTGGCGACACAGCAGGTCTAGGTAACCCGGTGACATTCTGTTGCTTAACCTACGCCTTTTAAAATACGTTTCCCTGCTGCTAAATAGTATTACGCTGGATATCAAAGATAAACGAAAGAACTTGATGACCTGTATGCGTTGTAATGCCACCCCAGACCATAATGTAACTTCCACCGAACTGACAAATCAGAATTATAGAATTGTCACTGTTGCGTTACTGCTGCTGACAATATCATAAAACGGCCGTCACTACTGATATGAAATCTGGGCTTATTTGTGAACAGAACAGAACACTGCACCGAGCTAAGAGACGCGACTCTGTGACGTTGAAGCAAAGTTGAACTAACTGTGGCCGAGGTCATGTGCAGATATTGACCTATCACTCTCTGTTTCGTACATGGCTGATCCTGGAATGCTTCTAGCAGTAAATGAATTCAATTGGAACCGATTACGTATATGTGACGTCACACGCGGAAGTCCTGTTCGTGTGCGGCCCCGTACCGTGTTTCTCTGTTGAAAACGCCTCCACGTTCGCTTATCATGCGCATGTATTAATGTTTATGTCTTGCCACATTATTGTGAGATATTTCATAATCTCATATGCAAACCGCAATTTTCTCATTTTCACCATCATAGCACGCTACTCGCAAATTTCGTCCTGCGCAGTGCCTAGAATACGACCCATAAACGCAAAAAATAGACTGTGCCTGTAGTATGTGTATGATAGAATCAATCATTATCTTTTTCATTCCAAAGATTCGCTGTAGAAACTCAAAGTTGCTTGTGGTAGCGTGGTTCTTAAGTTGATGTTTTTTTAAGCCATATGCGACTGTCTCCGAGTATCCATCCGAAGGAACCAGAAAATAAGGGATAATGTCATCTGTTATATTTGATGGATTTCAATTAAGTTTATTTCATATTTGAATATATCTTAATTATAAAAAATGTAAGTGAAATAAATACACACACACACACACACACATACACACACACATACACACACACACACACACACATACACACACACACACACACACACACACACACACACACACACACACACACACACACACACACACACACACACACACACACACACACACACACACACACACACACACACACACACACACACACACACACACACACACACACACACACACACACACACACACACACACACACACACGCACGCACGCACGCACGCACGCACGCACGCACGCACGCACGCACGCACATAGTATACATTACACAAGTGTGATCTTTTACTGGGGAAGTTTGTATTCATTGTGTAAGATGACGTTTTCAGTGTGCGTTTACATTTTCCATGAATTATGTATAATCGTTACAAAAGCAAAAGCTCATCCTGGATGTAATTATCTGTTAGTAGCTGGTCACGTGTAATTAAATGAAATCTAAAAAAGAGTTCATTTTAACATTTTAATACGATTCAATAATAATTTAAAAAAAAGGTTGATAGAAAAAGAAAAGGTGATACATACATCTACTGTTCTTTTCACTCGCAAATTAAAAACTAACCTTTCTAGTCCTTGTGTATTAATTTTTTATCATATGTAGTCTTTGATCAAGCGAAGACAGGAAATATGGCGTAAAATCTAATTTGCATATTTAAATATGTTGTACAATTTGAACATAGTGAAACTATTGGGTTCTGGTGTAGTGAATCTGTTTTACATACATTCAATATACGTTACCTTTCTCATGATACACAATGATATCATCTAAACATAGTTAAAAACAATGAGTTGAACGAGTGTGGAAACCGAATTCGATTGTCACAATTTACAAAATGACATACCCGAGATTACTTTGCTGTCTGATTCCGTTAGTATTCTTAAAGTGGCATATTTTGAAATGAATGGTTTGAAACACCGCGTCTAAGATATTTCCTGTTGTATAGATAGAATACAAAAGCAGGATTTCAACACGTCTTCAAAATGAAGCCAAGTATGATTTACCTTGTCAGCCTGGGTTGTCACATGAACAAAGCTCCCAAAGGTAGTGTTCACTTTGTCTCTATATCCTAATCGCCGTTAAAAGTCGAACGTTACGGTCTGCTGAATTTCGATACACTGTTGATGTTTTCGTGTAGTTTGTAAACCTTTGTTTTAGTCTTTGGTATTTATCAATTTATTTCCGTTCTTTACTGTGCATGATGTTAATCTATATGCGTGTTTCCAACAGGCTTTTTTAATACGTTTATAGAAGTTTTACTTAGTTAGCTTAAATTGCATCCGGTCGATATGTGGTATGATCTATGGACACTAAGTATGGGTGTCATTCACATTAGTTTATGAAGACATATTTAATATAACTTCACAAAATAGATGACATCACGACAGTATTTGTTCTCCTAATACTGAGAACATTCTGTTTTTGTATTTGTGTACATCAGAAAAAAAAGAATACTTCCATAATACCAAACCCTGTAACCCACGCCCCTAGCCCCCCCCCCCCCCCCACACACACACATGCACACAGC